CTAATTGCTCGAATGCGACGGCGAAGCAGTAAAACGGTTGAATTACCTTTAATTGTCGGAAAAAGTGAATGCGCGGAACGATAATAGCTCGAAAAAGAGGGGTTTTTCGTGGAAAAACCACGAAAATGTCCAATTTTTCCCGGAAAATCCCTAATTTTGGCTTTACTGAGAATAATGCGTTTTTCTGTCTGAAATTCCTTGTTCCAGACCCGGAAAAATGCGCGAAAAACAGCGGGAAAACGGAGGGATCACGTGCCGTCCGTCTCACTTTTTCTAATTGGAGGAGCTCTCGGAGGAAAGTGAGAAGAAGAAGAAGAAGAAGGAGAAGAAGAAGAAGAAGAAGAAGAAGAAGAAGAAGTGGGCAAAGATGTCTGTTTTATGTATCTATCCAATTATTTTCAAACCGACTACGACTTACTTATGAGTGGACGCCTCTTTCAGTTTCTTTTTCGAATGAAAAATGAAAGTTTTGGGGGGTTCCGTAGTCTTGACCGAATATTGTTGATTCAGAAAATTTTTCAGACAAAAAGGCATATTTTTTCCGTATTCTCCAGACGATTTCCATTGTTTTGAGCGGTCGTGGGAGTCTGTGCGATTTTTTTGAAAAAAGTTGTGATTTTTCAAAAATGGGGCAAAAAATTATTGGGTTCCTGGGTGAAAAAGTTTTAAATCACTAGTTTGCGGGGGTGGGGGGGCAATCCAGGAAGAGAAAGAAAAAGGGAAAGAGAGAGAGAGAAAGAGAGAGAGAGAGAGAGAGAGCAAAAGTTGCCATTTCCTGCCGCCCCGCTTCTTGTTTCCTTTTTCCCCCTTTTTCCCCTTTTTTTTCCGCCGCCTAACAAGTCTCATTCCAGAGAGAGAAAGAGAGAAAGAGAGAGAGAGAGAGAGAGAGAGAGAGAGAGAGGAAACATGTTTAGGAATGGAATGAAAAGGACCAAGAAGAAGGAGAGGAAGTAGGAGAAGGAGAGGAAGTTGACGGATACATATGAGGAGTGCCTTTGCGGGGGTGGAACAGGGGAATACTGGAGGAAACTGGGGGGAGTTGGGTCATGGATTGGGTTCCTAGGCCATCAGTTGGAATCCTAGGCCATCATTTGGGATCCTAGGCCATCAGTTGGGATCCTAGGCCATTAGTTGGGTACCTAGGCCATTATTTGCGATCCTGACTACTAGATAGAGATCCGAGACCATCATTTGGACTCCTAGGCCATCAGTTGGAATCCTAGGCCATCAGTTGGGATCCTAGGCCATCAGTTGGGTACCTAGGCCATTATTTGCGATCCTGACTACTAGATAGAGATCCGAGACCATCATTTGGACTCCTAGGCCATAAGTTGGAATCCTGGGCCATCAGTTGGACTCCTAGGCCATTATTTGGGATCCTAGGCCATCATTTACACTCCTCGGTCATAAGTTGAACTCCTAGGCCATCAGTTGGACTCCTAGGCCATCAGCAACAAATCCTAGAACACACATAAAACACGCATAACTTGCAAACAACAAAAAACGACCAAAATACCCCAGTTTCTGAGCACTTTTCCCCTATTTTGCATAAAAGTACAATATCCCCCCGCGGGGGGGGGCTACTGTAGTTGCACCTGAAAACAAACACGAAAATAGTGGTAAACTAACCGATTTTGTCGCCGTGTTGTGCATTGAAGAACGCCTCCGACAGTTTGCGCACTATAAAAAGTGAGCTCGTCAACATCGAATTCGACATTTTCCCTTTTCTTTTTTTTTGAGGCCAAATTTTGATGATGGTCCCTGTTCGGTATACGGTTTTTTTCAGATTTTTTCTGGTTTCTCTGAAAAACTGGCAATATTTTTGAGTGGTTTAGGAGGAAAACGGAAGAGAAACGGAGCGAATTGGACGCGTGGCCTAGGATTCTCACTCGGTGGCCTAGAAACCCAAATTGCTCAAAATGAGTGGGGGAGGAATAGCGGCTTGATTCACTTTTTTCGATAGATATAAAAATAACGCATTGGGGAGGGCGGCGTGGATGGAGCACATGAGTATTCCCCAGATCCCACAAGTGCACTCAGATATTTTCGCAGAAATTCTTTTGTCAGAAAATTATGGAAAAGTTAGGCCACGTGAACTGGATGGTGTGAAATGTACGAAAAATGGCCGTGAAAATGGGCAAAATTTCGTACTGCCTCTCAAATTGATGACCTACGCATTCGTTTCGCGCGCGCCCGGCACTGGGAAATGGAAAACCATCAATTTCAGCCGCGGGAGCTTTATAATAGCGAAAAAAAGGGGGGAGGGGGGTGCGAAAAGGAAGGAAATCTGATCGGTATCGCAATTATTTCTCTCTCGCGGGTTCTTGTTTACTTGAAAAAAGACACTACTCTTTCGCTATTATCGTTCTCCAACATCCCATGTGTCAATTTTGGAAAGTTACGCGGCGAACGGGGCTCCGCGAGCTCGTGGAGCTCGTGGAACTCCAAAGTTTCAATAAAAAGTGATAGAGGGGGGATGAAAAGAATGGGGGGAAGAGCGAAGAAAAGGGGAAGAAATCGTTGCGAAAGAAAAAAGGAGAAAATATTATTATTCCGTGTTCCTCTCCGTGCATGTTTTCGGTGGGGGTAAATGTACATATGAGTTTGCGTTGCGTCTCGTCTCGTCTCTCCTCCTCGCACCATTTTTTGACATGGATTTAGGGAGAAGAACAAAAGAAAGAGAGCGAAGGGTTTAGGGAAAGGAGTTGATGACCGTGGCCTAGTTCTCTCAAAAATTGGGGATCCTAGGCCACGGTGGAAGTCTATAAAGAACAACAAAAAGAAGAAACCCCCGTTGCCAATGAGCCTGCACTTTTCGAGCAAAAATTCGGATTTCTAGGCCATCAGCTGAACTTTGCTATTATCGAAAAGAGAAAGTGTGCGCACGAGCACACACGCGAAAAAAGACGTTTTTGCTCCGAAAAAGAAAGAAAAAGGCTCTCGACAGCATGAAAATCAAATTTGCATACTTTTCGTTGTGTAAGTGTCCTCTCCGTCTTCATTTTTTTCCCCCGCCGCTCTTTTTCCAACCGAAATAAATGAAATGAAGGACAATTTGTGTGGTGACTTCCCACGCCGATTTTGACATGGGATTCGGAATCAGGACGAAAAGTTACGTGCTCCGCGAGCTCCAGACCAGAGTTGAGCGGAAGAACTCAACGCAAGAATTTTTATCTTTTTTAGAAAATTTTTTCATGAAATGTGATCAACTGACGAAATGTAGAGCAAAGTGAACTCTGCTCATAGAAAAATAATTGTAAATTTAGCTTTTCATACAAAAAAGTTATTCGAGTTGTTGCGTGAAAAAAGGGGGCCAACGCAACAACTCGAATAACTTTTTTGTATGAAAAGCTAAATTTACAATTATTTTTCTATGAGCACAGTTCACTTTGCTCTACATTTCGCCAGTTGATCACATTTCATGAAAACATTTTCTAAAAAAGATAGAAATTTTTCCAGACACCCCAAATTTCACGGGGAATTCTAAAATTTTCATGCAAAGTTTCAAGTCCCCCCCATCTCAACATGGATACAAGTTTTGTGTCAACGACATCATCATCATGTCCACCAGTGCCACGCCAAATTATGTCATGGCCTTCTTCTTCTTCTTCTTCTTCTTTCGCAAAAATGTTGGTGGCGTCTGAATTCCGTCCTAATGAACTCGCGGCGTCCGGGTTCATGTCGGCAGCCGTCCCAGGAGATGCTGCTCGAGTGGCAAAAAGTGGACTACGGTAACGGGCGGATGGAACCCGGTTTGTTCGTTTTTTTTTTTTTTTTGCATGAATTTCCGATGCGAAAGAATGCATTTTTAAGGCCATGTGTGGGCGAAGAAGACAACAAAAAAGTGTGTGTGTGTGAGTGTGAATAATATATATTCATTTTCCGCAAAAAAAAAATGGTGTTGGTTGACCTTTGACGATGACTTTTTGTTGAGTAATCGGCTTTTGAATGACTGATTTGTGGTCAGGCATGAGTTGGTTGTCTGGCCACGTCAAATCAACTCCACATTGACGGATATTCGAAGTCTCTGTGGAAAATGACGAGATGTGACACTAATCGAGAGCCGTTTCGGACGTTAAACACTTGGCGCTTCATCTTTATCAATTTTCAAGCTCATTTTCAGATTCGCCATGGAAAATGACGAGTTGTGACACCAAACAAGACCGAGCTCAGATCCCTTGAATCTTCTTGTTGACCATGACGGTTATTATCGGTCGCATAACCGGATTAGGCAAATCTGAGCAAGTTCTCGTGTTCTTATCACTCGTTTCCGCCTCAAATTGACTAAAGATCCTGATTGTCTCCGCCCCCGCAAACAACTTGACATTTTGTTGTCCGAAACACGTGTTTTTCTTCTCCGAATACCTTTTCCGGTCGGGTGCACATCATGCTTCGTCTGCTCCGCCAACAAATTGTGTTTGCAATGCCTACGTGTGTTTTTTAGGAGTTCCGGAAGTCACTATCCCATTTTCACATGGTGCATCGACCAATTGAACCGCAAGTTTTCACTTGAATCTGCAGTGCGTGCGCGGGTCGGGGAATCGGTTTCGACATGGTGCATCGACCAGGATTCGCTCAATTTCGGAGAATTTTCTCACATTTTCACATGGTGCATCGACCAATTGAACCGCAAGTTTTCACTTGAATCTGCAGTGCGTGCGCGGGTCGGGGAATCCGTTTCGACATGGTGCATCGACCAGGACTCGCTCAATTTCGGAGAATTTTCTCTGAAGAAAATCCCTCTCATTTCTGCGCCGATTTCGTGCGCGAGCAGCGGGATTAGGAGCCGGCGAGTCATGTCTTGTGATCGAGAAAAAGGATTGATATAACTCGCCGCAACCGGACGGATTAGGCCACCGGCAAAACATTTCATTGACGCAAATGATTGAAGAGAAAATTGGAATGGAAAAAGGATTTGAGATGCGCCGAGAAAGGGCATCGTTTCCCAAGATATTCGACACAAACAAAACACATTTGAAGACGATAACCATCAGGGACCATCACCATCCATTTGTTTTTTCATAAAAAGACTCACATCGCGTGGAGACGACCGGTAAATCGAGCATAAAGTGTGTGGAGGGTCTGCGGTCCCCGGCGGACGACGTCGACGGTTGTTCTTGTTCCGTGTCGTGCCTACTCCGCGACGATCCGCGTCTCGAAGAACGGGACGGAGCACGCGAGTCCCGGCCGATTCCCATCCCGTTGTGCGCACTTGTCGATGCGATACCACCTGCAAAATGAGGAAATTTGCTCGAATGTTTTGGCCTAAAGATTAGCGAAAACCCCGCAATTTTTTGTCAAAAACTGTCGCCGATTTGGCGTAGACGTTCAGCGAAAAAGGCACGACAAGTCGAGGGTGTCGAAAAAAGAAGAAGAACAAGAAGTGGGACCGGACCGCCCATAGAATTTGGCGCCGGACGGCTGCGTCGGGCGCCCATTCTTTTCACACTTTCTTTCCAATGTTTTCGCTCCTTTTGTCTTGCCTTTTGCTGAAAAACACTTTTGCTCATGGTGCATCGGCCACTCGTCCGAAAATGATCCCCGAAACAGTTTTCGTGCCCAGTTTTTGCGGTAGACTTCAAATTTTCAGTATAAACCCGTGGAAACGTGCAAAAAGTGGTCCCCGGTCGAGCTTGTTAGTGGTGCATCTTCCGAGTGCCATCCTATTAAGGATCGCCGAGACGGCCATACCAAAAACGTCATTGTTGTGGACGTCTCATCATATAAAACACACCCTCGCAATTTGCACTTTTCGTAGCCTAAATGACCAGAAATATGAGCCCCCACCCGTGGTCCTTGACGAGAACCGCCGCGAATTTGTTGGAAAAGAGGACGCCGAGCCCTCGGAAACGTTTTTTTTTCGTAGTAGGGTACGTGATGGTGGTGGAGCAAATAGAGCATTGGATATTCATGGAATGGGAAACAAAACATTTGTTTTTTTTTCTCGTTCGTTTGTTTCAACTTTTGACATTGATCTATATAGTACATTGACATAAATTGTGCCTGAAAAAGTTCAAAAACTCGGCGAGCCTGACATGTCAATCCGTTTTCCCGCGAGCACATTGTGCTCCGCGAGCCCTGAGCCGAGAATTCATGAAAGAATTGCAAAGAATTGCAAACTGGAAAACTATGAACCACTGGGACTGACACAATTCGCAGAAAAAGTGTGCGGATAACTTTGTTTCAACACTTTTCCCTTTTTTCGAAATAAAACAAGCGCGTTCTCAATTCTCAAATGTGCAAGGTCTCCCTCTCTCTCTTTCTCTCTCTCTTCTGCGAGATAATTGAATTTTTGTCGGCGCTCGGCGCTTCTCGTTCAAATAATTGCCTTCCAGGACGAGTTGTTTTTCAAAAACCGCTCATTTTCTCGTTTTCACCGCAAAAAATGAGCCGGAAAGCCGGTTTTTTGGGCTTTTTTGCGAAATTGTCGTCAGGTTCGGTGTACGGTACGCAATGCGCGTCATCTTACGCGCAATCGCCCTCGAAAAGTGCGCGCAGATGATGGGAAACGTGTCAGAAATGCGAATTTCACGATGAAAATTAAACATTCATGCGATGTGGTGCGACACTTTTTTCCGGGGGCAGCGAAAAGTGGAAATTCCACGGAATTTCATCTTTGCATCTTTGAACACAATCCGTGGGAACCTCTTTCGTTTTCCGCTTTCGAATTTCCTTTTCCGGGTCGCGAACGAACGACGCCGACAAAAACAACCTTGGCAAAACCGGATTTTCTCGCGGAAAGCCATAAATTTTCGGGCGCCGAAAGGTTCTGGCAAGGGAATTTGTCAAAAGTTGACAAGAAGTTCTGATGGATTTGCGGACGTTGTACACATTTTACGTTTTTCGCTCCCCCCGCCGAAACCGCGACGCCAAACACCACCAAAAAACGTTTTCCACATGGTGCATCGACCGATGGAAATCGGAAAGAAAAACAAGGTTTTCTCATGAATGACGACATTTTGCCGGAAAATTGCGAGCAATCGGGAAAGTGTGCGAGTTTTGCAGACAAATTTCACTTCCACATGGTGCATCGACCAATGCGCATCAAAAATTAGTCATCCGCGATCAAATCCGCTCCTAATCTCATCCAGTTTTCTTGGGAACGGATTTCGGGCGAGCACATGACGTGGCGCCGTCTATTTTTGAAGAAAATTTACCATAAGAAGTGGTGGGATCGAGTGGCGAAAGCGTGGCGGCGCCGGACGCGGAACAGCAGCAAAGTGCGCCCAACTTGTGGGACCGCGCGTGATGCGTGGGCGGTGGGACCGCCACCACCACCGCCACACGGTCCCCATCGTTCGGCGGCTCCTGCTCGACGACGACGACTGCTTTCGCCTTCTTCTTCGCCTTTTTCGTATTATTGCAGTGGCGAAGTTTGGTGGATTTGGTCATGTTTCGGTGGCATCAGAATACGAGTGGGCGCAGAGAAGTATAATATCGGGTTTTTGGGGGCCGTGAGCGGAACGATTTCACCTGTCCGGTGGGCCGGAGAAACAGACGTTCGGGCGCGGAAAATAGATAGCCAGAAGAAAGAGTGGAAATGAAACTTTTGTGCTCCCGATTCTAGTCTCAAACACACTCTGGATTGTGGAGGGAAGCTTCTTCTTCTTCTTCTTCTTCTTCTTCTTCCTCCTCCTCCTCCCTTCCCCCTTTCCCCAGACTCCGCCCACTTTGTTCTGGGGTGCGAGGAGACGGAGAGAGAGAGAGAGAGAGAGAGAGAGCGAGAGTGTCCGTGTATGCGGCTCACGGATTAATTATTCGAAGACGAGCCTCAATATGGCGCCGGATGGATGAAATAAGCAGAGGAAAAGCATATTAGTCGATATTATCGGTTTCACCTTTGATGCTACTCGCTGTCTCCTTCCCAGTTTCGGGGGAAACGTTATTTAGGTTATATGAGCTCCAAGAACTGAAAAATGACGGTCCCCACTAGCCCAGAGGGACCGAAACAACTCAAAAATGTCAGAACAAATCGCCTGTAGAATCCGGAAATTTGCGGCTGGCAAATCCATGGAAACGCTGCCGCTCATCGTCAGTTTGCAAATGCTCGTGACACACCATATTGCGCATTTTTAGGGCAAATGTGACATGTTAATGTGACACGTCACCAACGGGCCTCAAACCAAAAAGTGTACAAAGTGTTCTGATGTTAAGATGTACATAGACAAAAATGAGAGAGAGAGAGAGAGAGTGCACGCGGACGGAAGGGGACCATGCTCATTTTGGAACCGAATGGCCTATAAAACATTTTTTACATTTCCTTTTTTTTGGAATGATGATGAGAGGCTATCTCGAAGGGACCAGGACCGCAAAGGATCATCGTCATGTTCTTCTTCTTTTTTGGGGAACGAGGAATAGAATAATTCTTGAGTCTTTACTTTCCTACCTCGTGTCTCGGTCAGTTTTGAAGATTTTTTTAAAGTTAAAAAGCAAATCGATAGATAATTTTGTGCTCTACAACTTTATAGTTGACAACTTTTTACGATCATGCTTCTCTGACGAGATATTTTCATTTTTCCAATAGTCTCTCAAAAATCGTTCTCTCAACTCACTTCCAAAGTGTTTTTCAGGGTTTCAACCATTTTTTATGACGTGGCAACCCATTTTCTGCGTTTTTCCGCCAAAAAACGGCTCAACTCTTACCCATATGATTTTGTGTGTGTGTTATTGCTCAGAAAACGGGCGCCGGTTGATAAATGAGCATGGATCGGAGCCGACCGGAAGTTTTTTAGCTCCCCGACGACCAGAGCTCTTCCGCACTGATTTTCAGGGACCACAAGCCCTTTTTGACTGAATTTATTGAAGAAAATCGGAAAAATCAACGTTTTTAGCGGAAAGGATGATGATGAGGACGTCGTCGTCAAAAAAGGGGAAAAGAAGCGGAAGGACCCCCCCCTTCTCGCTCCTATTAATAAGAAATTCATTCGAAAAAGAAGGAGCTCATTCTTTCAAAGAAAAAAAAGGGTGGAGGAGATATTCCCCCTCTTTTTAGGAGCCAAAAGAGGTTGGTACGGAAGAGTGAGGAAGTACGTCAGGTCGGACTGGAATGGGCCGATGGGACCACCACTTTTCGGCGTTTAGAGTGGTCCTATGGCTTTGAAAGATTGTTTGGTAAAAACTTCAAGTCTAGTACAGTTTTTTTGTAGTTGATGACTTTTTTGTACGAACAAGTGCTGGAGTACTGTAGCTCTTGGAAGTTCGCCTAGGTTTTTAACTATTATCAACTTACAAGAGCTACAGTAACCGGCGGAGTGGTTGTACGGAAATATTGTCAATTACAAAAATGAACTATAGATTATGAACTTTATTTTTGAAGTTGACAATTTTATCGTACAAACACTCCTAAGGTTACTGTAGCTCTTGAAAGTTTGGACAGGATAAAAGCCTATGCCAACTTCCGAGAGCTACAGTACGCCAGTGCGTGGGCGTACAAAGAAAGTGTCAACTACAAAAATACAGTACTAGATGTCAAGATTTCACAAAAACAATTTCAGGCCCATAGGACCTTCCAGAACGCAGAAAAGTGCGTCGAAAGATTGTCAATCACTTTTGTGTGTTTTCCGATATTGTGAAACCAGAAAATCGTGTAAAAATGTATTTTTTAGAGATCTTTGCACATGAATTTGTCGATGACGCACCCACTCAGCTTAAAAACGAGAATATCATGACAGCTGTTTCGCTCCAAAACTACCGTAATCCTACAAACAGCATTTTTTGTTGCAAAAAAGCGATAGACTCCAAAAAAAGTCAGAAAAATGCGCTACGGATGTGTGAGAGCTGAATGTGCATTTTCCTATTTTTCTTCACAGCAATTTTTGGCCTAAAAATTGACAATTCGTCAGAAATTCCGAGAAAAAACGGCAAGACGAAAAAGGATCCGAAAAACAAGGAATACAAATCGATTGGGCGCACAAAACGGGGGGAGGGGGGTAAATTTCCGGAAAAAAAAACGTTAGAAACCCACCTAGACTGGTACTGGACGCCGGTCTCGCGAGGAACGGCATTCCGGACGAGAGATCTGAAACCGAGAACACATTTGCGAGGGAATGCACACTTTTCACTTTTGTGCTCCGTTTCCATGACTTCCGATGCCGATTCTGACGTCGGATTCGGAATCACGATGAAAAGTTACGTGATATGACATGCATCAAGCCCTGGTTCGGTCATTTTTAGTTTTGGGCTCACGGAGCACACACTTGCTCCGCGAGCTCGTGCTCAAAACTGTTTTCCACGGTAACCAGGGGAGAAATCGAATCAAAAACGGGTTAGGACAACCATTTTTTGGGCTCAAAAGTCTCTTCGTTTTCCTCAATCTGACAAAGCGGACAAAGTCGTGAAAGGAACATTTCTAGGCGGAAAAAGTTCAACAAAAAAGTGCTGAGAAATGGATTGAGAAACGGAAATTGTGTGTGTGTGTGTCTTTCTCTCTCAATTTTCAACTTTTTCATTTGGCCAACGCTTTCTGCCTTCTTCTTCTTCTTCTTCTTCTTCTTCTACTTCTGGAGCACGAGTGAGAAAGACGTGTGACGGACGCCGTGTGAGAATTGAAGGGGAAAAACGAGCACGAATGTTGAGCCAGCCAAGAATCTGATGAGATTCTTGGAATTGTACGTAAGCATTTTTTTTTGGAGTGTCCGGACAGGATCACAAGGCACTAAACTAGAAATGAACAGTCTAGGAAAGAGACGGGAAGAGGAGTCAAGTAGAATGCGGCCAGATTGGTATTACTGTTACAAGACGGCTGTTCGGGATCTTCGGATCCAACTGCGCTCGCACAATATGAGCAACTGTGGGCTGTGGGTAAATCTAAAGTTGTGGGACCGTATCCTGGCTCGGCAGAAGATGCTCAAGGCTATGAGGGCAAGTACCGGAAATGGAACTTTGAAATCCGGAAGACGGAAGAAAATTTTTTTTACGGAACACGGAAAACGGAAGACGGAAGAAAATTTTTCTCACGGAAGACGGAAGACGGAAGACGGAAGAAGAAAATTTTTTTTTACGGAACACGGAAAACGGAAGACGGAAGAAAATTTTTTTTTTACGGAACACGGAAAACGGAAGACGGAACAGAAAAATCGTCAATGAAGAACTTTTTCTCCGGTTTTTTTTTTGGAAAAAAATAACTAAACAACAAAAATTTTGGATCTGGGAATTCGCGTTATTCGGGGCCACTAAATGGCTTCTGAAAAGCTATTACTCTTTTACGGTAAGAACAAAAAATCCCGGAAGACGGAAGACGGAAGACGGAAGGCGGAATTCCGCTCAACACTGATCAAGTACATCAATTCTAAGCGATTGGTGGTCCCGTTCAATGTCAGACCTGGCATAGGAAGTCGCCAAACAGAAATAGACGCGAGTGTTGCAAAAGGAGACACAAAAAAAGTTGGTTGGCCGGTGTGCGGCCTTTGTGCACTGGCTCCGTGAGCAAATGAATGCAGAAAGGGCGAGAAGGGCGGCCTAATTAGAATTCCCGAGAGTTGCTCGAGAGAATTGGAAGAAAGGTCAATAAAACGAGAGTTAAAGGTCGTTCTGCGTGCCACGTCACAAAACTTTATTCGAAAAGAGCAATTTCGTTATCATCTCCTTCATCTTGTCCGTTTTTTTTACGATTCATTCATTTTCACGCTCTACTCGCCTCGCCCGCTCTAATTTCCTTCCAATTTCCCGATGCGCCAGTCGTGCAGTGCAACGGAAGAACACGCAAGAATTTTTATCTTTTTTAGAAAATTTTTTCATGAAATGTGATCAACTGACGAAATGTAGAGCAAAGTGAACTGTGCTCATAGAAAAATAATTGTAAATTTAGCTGCTCATACAAAAAAGGTATTCGAGTTGTTGCGCGAAAAAAGGGGGCCAACGGAATAACTCGAATAACTTTTTTGCATGAAAAGTTAAATTTACAATTATTTTTCTATGAGCACAGTTCACTTTGCTCTACATTTCGTCAGTTGATCACATTCCATTAAAAAATTTTCTAAAAAAGATAAAAATTCTTCTGTGTTCTTCCGCTCAACTCTGTCGTGCAGCACTATTTCTGCGAACCTATATTTATTGTGTGGGGCGCCAAAACACGATCAGAAACATTGTTCTCAACGCGATTTAAATAATTTTGAACAATTTGTGAAAATGAGGGTAATGGGCTCGCGGAGCAAGGGTGTCAAAAGGAGGAAGGACACTTTTTCTTCAAAAAAAAAAAAAAAAATGAAACGAATTCCGTTTCCGACTGACCTAACTTCAATTGCGTCTTATTCCGCCTCGACAAACGCAGCAATTTGCGCCCTTTCGGCAAATCCGTCAAACTCGCCGGTCGTTCCATTTCGAGACGGTGTCTTTGTGCCGGATTCCCTGAAAAAAGTGCAATAGCAAAGATGAAAGGCTTGTGCTCTGATGTTCAAAAGGACACAAAAGTCAAACGAGAAAAGTGTCACATTACGCGTCAAAACTTTTTTTTTCTTTGTTCGACGACAACTATTGCAAGTTGGGACGAAATTAGCATTCCGTGGAGGAAACGTGAGCGTACAATTTAAATTTTCGAATAGTTTGACCCACTTGCCGACTGAAAATTGTAAAAGAGAAGAAATGAGGCGAGCCACTCGCTCTCCACTTTCACGACAAAAGTGGGCGTGTCCTATAATTGAGCCCTCTCTCTTTTTCAATTTGAGAGTGAAAGAGAGAGAGAGAGAGAGAGAGAGAGAGAGATGGAAGCGGAAAAATAAATAAATACAAAAAGAGGGACTCGTTTCGCAGCAAAAAGAGCATTCAAGCGGTCGATTTCGAACCACAAACACACTTTTTTTTTTTTTTTTTGGCGGCTTCGGAGCATTTTTGGAGCTCGTGAGCTCGGAAGAGGAAGAAGAAGCAGAAAGAGGAGATAATGAGGATAAAATAATCTGAATATGGAAACAGAGAACAGGGAAAAGATGACGAATTTGGGGAGAAGAAGAAGAAGAAGAAGAGGATAATCCGTGTGCTCGGCAAGCTTCTTGTTCGCCGAAAACGAACAAAACGATGATGGGCATGGGAAATGGCAAAAACGACCGAATTGGCATGGTTTTATGGGTCGGATTTGATTTTGTACAAATTTTGTACAATTTCGGCAATGTAATTGCATAAAATTGTTAAACTAATCATCGCGCACTTTTTGAGAGCTTAAAACGAGCAGGTTTCATTCAGAAATTCAATCAATTCAATCGATTTTCAAGTTTTGTGCTGAAAATGCGCGAATTTCAGTCATTCGCCGATACTTTTTGCCGTTTGAACGCTTAAAATACACGAAAATTTCAATATTTTCTCTCTTTAATGTCTCTTCTTTCGTCGATATCTCAAACACAAAAATATCGAAAAAGTGTGCTGGAATTTTGCGGAAATTTTCAGAAAACGCGGCGTCTCAGATTAGGCCACGCCCGGAAAGTGACCGCAAAACTTGTGATAACCGTGGGGGTTCGTCTCGAAAAAACAAGGAAATGGGGCGAGTGAAAAGAGGGAAGAGCTCCCAGAAGAGTTGAATTGAATAGGCGTCATTTTGGGGACAGAAACACGCGCTCCTCTGTGTCCATTTCCCCCCAAAAAAACGAGAGGTTTTTTGGATGAAAAGAAGCCTCTTTCTTCAAGTACGGAGATCGGAGGAGTCGCGAAAAGATGCAAATGATCACGAGAAGGACATTATTCAAGTATGGATGCTCTTGAACGGTCCCCGGTTGTCTCCAACCCACTCTTTCGCCAATCTCTCGCATTTTGTACAAAACGGACAATTTCTCCGTCAAAACTTGACCGCGTCGACCGTGAACTTTGAACTATTGTCGTCCGTGTTCAGAATCAAATGCGAGTAACAACAATTCGATATTCGAATCGCTGTCATTCTTCGAACAACTGCTTCTTCAGGTAACGTGTTTCCTCTGCTGAAAATCTGCAAAAATGTGCGAGTGTTCAGAGAGAGAGAGAGAGAGAGAGTGATGAACGTGAAAATGTCACTTCTAGTCGCGTTGGCGATGATCGTCGGCCGCGCGGACGCACAAATCGACAGGGACTGGTCGTTCGAGAAGATGTGCACGTGGTACGGCGGCCGCTACAAAATAAGGGACGGACCGCAGGTGAGCAACCCGGAAAAATGTTCAAAGTGTGTCAATCAGAGAAGAACTCAACGGAAGAATTTTTATCTTTTTTAGAAAATTTTTCCATGGAATGCAATCAGTGTGCCTTACCGAAAGGGTTTCGGTAAATTTACCGGTAAAAATTTCGGTAAATTGTCGGTAAAACTTTTTTTTACCGAAAGAATTTCGGTAAATTTTCGAAACAATTTACCGAAAATTTACCGATAAATTTACCGGTAAATTTTATCGGTAAATGGGGACTTTTTCGAAACAATTTTCAATTTTGAGAACGGAACATTGAGGCGACTGTTCAGCGTGTTCGTGATGTTTGGGATGTTGTTCAGAATGTTCTAAATTGGTCACATCGGCGCCTCAATTTTTCTGTTTTCTTTTAACGAACAGTTTATTTTCGAATGAGGAACTTTGGGGACACATTAAATGCGAAACTCGTTGCATAGCATTATAAAAAATTTGATTGAAAAAATTGAAAAAATTTGAAAAAACAAAAAAATTTGAAAAAATTAAAAAACAAAAAAAAAATCAAAATTGTTCTTTCGGTAATTGTCGAAAGGAACGATTTACCGGTAAATTTACCGAAACTTTTTCGGTAAAAACGTTTTTACCGAAAATTTACCGAAAATTCACTTCTTTCGGTAAAAAAAATTTCGGTAAGGCACACTGAATGCAATCAACTGACGAAATGTAGAGCAAAGTGAACTGTGCTCATAGAAAAATAATTGTAAATTTAGCGTTTCATACAAAAAAGTTATTCGAGACGGAAGACGGAAGGACATTTTCACGGAACAACTCGAATAACTTTTTTGTATGAAAAGCTAAATTTACAATTATTTTTCTATGAGCACAGTTCATTTTGCTATACATTTCGTCAGTTGATCACATTTCATGAAAACATTTTCTAAAAAATATGAAAATTCTTCCGCTCAACTCGGGTGTCAATTTGATATTGCAGGCCTCGTCGGGCGACACGTGTCAACTGGAGTTCCGTCATCCGTCGTCGTCGCCGTCCGCCGCTCTCCGCTACTGTTCCGACCACTTTCCGTACCACATAACGTCGGCGACGCACGGAGCACAGACGACGTGCGCCGCCGAGGCCACGCTCATCTGCCCAAAAGACTGGGTCCAACTGTACGGACGATGCTACCGCGCCGAGAAGACGCTGATGACGTGGACGGAGGCCGTCGAGCACTGTGCCACGTGGAAATCCCGAATCGCGTTCGTCCATCGCGAGCCGATCGTGCGGCTGTGGAGCCAGTACTTTTCGCGAGTCAATCGGATTTGGGCGCAGGCGAGCGAAAGTATCATGGAGGATGTCGAGGTGAACAGAGGCGATCGGCTGATGGTCGCGTTTTACGGAGCCGCCGCGCCGTATCCAGTCCCATCCGGCTCTCTGCTTCGAGTCGACGGAGCCAAGCATCGGGCAATGGTCGTGTGTGAGCGGAATCCGCCGACAAACCGAGCCGAGTCCAACTACTTGCTGCGCCGGTACGCCGAGATCTACTGGCCCGGATTCTCGACCGACGACGGCATGTTCCTGAGGACACTGAGCACGAGGAACTGGCAGAACGGCCAGAAGCCGGACGACGAGTACTGTCGCCGAGTGATGAGACCGCTCGGCGCGAAACGGAAGCACGCGAGTCTTGCACGCATCTCCGACCGATTTCTGGAGGAGTTTGACAAGGACCGGGACCTGCAGGATCGTCAGCAAATCACGTTCTTCCGCACGCCGTTCCACCTGAGGGAGCAGAAGACGACGCGGGACGAGATGCTGGCGCACGAGTGCAAGTACAACGCGATGATGATCGAGTTTGTGATGCAAGTCGACAAGATCGACGTGCAGATCGAGCACCGTCAGTGGCGCAACCGCGACCCGCACCACGTTTGCGTCGGCGGCACCTCGTCGACGGCGGTCCGCTTGCATCAGCAGGAGCGGCTCGCCTTTGAGACGGTCTCGGACGCGCGGTGGGCGCCGATGTACTGTCAGTCGAAGTTCACGTTCCCCAAGTACCTGGACTGTCCGTCCGGCTGGACCGGGTACCAGCGGAAGAGCGGAGTCAAGTGGTGCCACCGGTTCGATCCAGTGCCACGCATTATGGACGACTCGGAGATGGAGTGTCGCAAGGAACAGGCGCATTTGACCGGCTTTGAGGACGGCGACGAGTTGACCGCGCTGTTTGGTACGTTTTAGACCCGACCGCCTCCACGTTTCGATACGAACGAGCCAATTTTGCAGAGCTGGCGAAAAAGGGCGGCGTGACGACAAACGGCTGGCTTTCGCGTATTCACGTTGGCGGGCAGAGACGAGAAGTGTGTCGATGGGGCGGAAATAAAGGGTACGGATTCGAGAAGGATCCGATGCACGAGTGCTCGCGGAAGAGGGTCTTCGAGTGGGTGCACCGCGTCGCCGACAATCCGCCGAACCTCGAAAGTGTGTGGCTGATCAACGACACTCCCGACAATCCGGAGCCGAATTATGTGGGCGCCGCCGAGGACTGTCTCGAGATTTGGCCCCAACCGACCGGGTTCGTCGTCAATGACGGAATGTGAGTTTTAGATTCGTACACATTTATCGCTAAATTGTTTGTACGTGTTTCAGATGCTCGGCCGAATTGAATAGTTTTTGTGGAAAGGAGGCGCCCATCACTTTTGCATAGAACTCCTCTTGTGAACATTTATCGATAAAACGCACACCCGGATTTTCTTCTGTTTTTGATTTAATTCCACGAAAAATGCTATTTTTGCGTCGAAACTAATACATTTTTTTGTGAAATCGCACTGAAATGTTGTTTGATTAATTGTCCCCATCAAACTTTTTTGTACAACCACTCCCTGGGGGGTACTGTAGCGCTTGGAAGTTGGGGTAGCTAAACGCATTTTTAGCGCCAAGTTGCCAGTGCTATAATACTCAAAGGAGTGGTTGTACAAAAAAGTTGTAAACTACAATATTATTGGCTATGTCTAGTACTTTATTTTTGTAATTGATCACTTTTTTGTACAACCACTCCCTGGGGTACTGTAGCGCTTTGAAGTTTGGCTCTTCCACGCGCTACAGTAGTCTGGTCAACTACAAAAATAAAGTATCAGATGTGAGGTTTTCATTAGAAAAAGTTCCATGAACTCTACAATATCCATTATAAATCCAATTTTTAATCATCCGAATGCACCGACTCATTACCAAATCAACTTCTTCTTCTTCTTCTTCTCTCTCTCTCTCTCTTTTTCTCTCTCCCTCTTTCCAAAGCCAACCCCCATAAAACTTTATGCTCTTTTTCCTTTTGAATACATCACAAATGTTGTGGACATACATATATGTGGGAAACGGGGGGTAAAAGACAAACTTTTTTCTGTCTTTTCCCCTTCTACTCATTTCTTATTTGTTTTTGGGCGGCATTTGGCCCATGTTGCCTTTTTTGCGTTGCATTGAGAAAAAAAGAAAGGAAAAAGAGCAATCATTGCTTTTCTGGACTTTTTTTTCGTATTTGCAGTGTCCGGTGTATGGATCCTAGGCTGAACCAGTGGGACCGTGTTCCAGTGGTGACTTGAAGTTTTGAATTCATCCCACGTTCCCCAAAATTCTCTAAAACTGGAGATTTTTTGTCGAAAAATCCCCACGCGTCTCCTTTTTTTTTGAATGTCCGATGGGACCATTTCAGTGTTTGACCGCTTCTCGAAGCAGACTTTCATCCGAAATTCCAGTGCATCCCATTAAAGTGCCCTCGTTTGGGTCCGTCATTTTTGTCAATAATTCAAGTGATGGCCCGGGGCACGGAAGCGTCGGCTCTCGGCCGGATTCGTCGATTTTCGGGTGCATTTCGGATGTGTGCGCCGGCCGCCGCCGCTTTTTTCGGCTGAATAGACGCCCAAATTGGGCGAAAAGATGGCAACATACCAGAAAAGCGATCAATCATTCACTTTTGCACCGCCAAGAAACGCTTGTGTTGTTGGTTTTTTGAAGGATTCAGTACGTGGGAGTCGGTGCCACGTCATCTTCCACGCTTTTTTGGAGAGGGGCTCGAAAAAGCCGGTACCTTTCCCAAAATGCTCATTTCTCATTTGTGCACACAAACTTTCGCGGTCCCTGGGGGTACGGCTGCGCGGAAATTGTGCCCTTTTCGCGTGTGTACGGATTTCGATGCACCATGTTTCCGCTTTTCGCATCTTACAACCTTTTTCTCGAATATCAGTCGATGCACCATGAGCAACTTTAACGGACCGTTTCTAGAACGCTGGTTGGGACACTGAATCACTGGTCGATGAACCATGTTTTCAACTTTAGGTGACCGTCTCAAAAACCGTTACTTTTGTGCCATTCTAAACAGTTCCTCACAGTTTTTGGCCGATGCACCATGTGGTCCCGCTAGTTGGATGAAGTTGGAACTGAACATTGGCCGATGCACCATGACGAGTGCCCTTTCAGCATGTGACAAGGGCTGCTTGATTTTGAAAAGAACGAGATGAACACAAATATTTTTAGCCACGCTTGATTGGTTTAAAGTTTGTTCGGCCGATGCACCATACGGTAGGTATCACGTGGGGCATCGGTGGATGCACCATGTGGATCCAATGGTCGGTCTTTCAAAACCTCACAAACAGGGTCGATGTGGATGCAGATGCACCATAGGTGGTCAAAAGGTGAATGGTTGATGCACCATGTGGAACCTGAACCTAAACTCTTTGTTCCTCTTTGCTCCTCCTCTATCTTCTTCTTCTTCTCTCTCTCTCTCTCTCTCCGGAAAGTGCTCGCAATGTCAGTGTCAGCTGCTGCTCTTTTTCGGCGGGAAAAGATGCACAAGCACAGAGGGGTCCCGCTTGGATGGACCATCCGTCACCGCCATCGCCTCCTCCTACTCTTACTTCTTCTTCTTCTTCTTCTTCCTCTCTCTCTCTCTCTCTCTCTCTCTCTCTCTCTCTGGCAAATGCAACTATTTGTGTGTGTGTGTTAGGCTTCCGTGAGGCTTCCGTGCTCGCAAAAAGATAAGAATAATATTTAGGAGCTCCCCTTTTTCCCCCCCTTTTTTTGAAATATTGTCGCCATTTGTCTGTTTTCGCAAACATTTTCTCTTTTTCCATACATTTTCGCCAATTTCGAAATGTCTTCAGAGGTTTCGCTCGGCCCACGCCGGTCCCCACTAGACCACACGTGTTTTCAGACAAAACAACGCGATTTTCAGACAGATTATGTGGGGTGGTTCGATCTTTTGACTCTTTTTGTTGCCTTTCAGACATGACTCCCAATCCGTAACTGGATCAAAACTTGTTTTCGTCTATTATTTACCCGATATTAGCGTTGACAAAAATGTTTTGGTCGGGGTCCGACGTCGAAAAAACCACTAGGCCACAAAGTGATTTTCATTATATTTCCCGTCGTTTTTCAACATTTTTCGAGTGAGTCCCTAATGAAAATCGGAGAAAAACAAGAAAGTCAGCGAATGAGGAAAAGAAGAGCTCGTCATCATCATTATGCGCTGGCTCTCCGCCTCTGATGCGCACCCACGTGAGCCGAAGAAAAAGCGCTCGAGGCAACTTTTGGTGCTCTCGAAGAGCTCATCAAGATTTGCACCCCAACAACATGCCCCCCTATTCCCTCATTTACATTTTCTACCGTAATCCCTTCCTCCTTCCTTCGTTTCTTTTCCACCCGAGGCCATTTGAAGCTCTCACGCGGCTTTTCTAAAAACGCTTTTTTTGTCAGAAGATTCTCTGATCGGAATCATGAGTTTCAGGCTAATGTTTTTTATCCTCTCGATGCCATTCATTCGGAAAAGGATAATATCTCGGGGGGAGCGCATTCAAGTAGATATATATATACATATATATATAAAATAGATTCTATTATATGTTGAGAGCGAGAGGGGATTATGGCAGAGGCACACGTTATTCGACCGGATTTCATGTTCCACACTTTTTGTGATATTTTTGAAAATTTCAACATGGGCTCGCGGAGCAAGTTGATCCTCAACAAAAGTTCGCCTGAAATCGATTGCTGCTTGTTTTCTAGTCCTAAAAAATTGATGTACTTGTTTTTCTTGTCGAGAAAGAGAGAGAGAGAGAGAGAGAGAGAGAGAAAGAGAGAGAGAGAGAGAGAGAGAGAGAGAGAGAGAGAGAGAGAGAGAAAGAGAAAGAGAAAGAGAAAGAGAGAGAGAGAGAGAGAGAGAGAGAGAGAGAGAGAGAGAGAGAGAGAGAGAGAGAGAGAGAGAGAGAGAGAGAGAGAGAGAGAGAGAGAGAGAGAGAGAGAAAGCTCCTTGAAGCAATTTGATGCCAATTATGAGAGTTAAGGGTCCGGGGGAGGCGCAATTTGAGACTCGGCTCTTCGCGGAAACGACACCTATTCGGACGAGTGACAAAGTTTGATGCAACATTCTGTGAGGATCTTTGAAAAACCGCCGAAAAATTGCCTTCATTTCGTGTTCTTCTTCTTCTTCTTCTTCTTCTTCTTCTTCTTCTTCTTCGAAAAATCAGCTCAATGCCAACGTTTTTCCTCTACAAATTGGGTCAAATCGATGTGGCGAATCCGCATTTTGCTCATTTCCGCCCGCAAAATTCCACAGAAAAAACGAAAGTTAGCGCATAAAATCGCATGCCACAACGAGAATCGCCATCCAAAATCCACTCGAGGACACTCTCGGCTCGGACCCCCTTTCCTCGTTTTCTTCTTCTCCGGAATTTCAAGTTCTCGATGAGGTGGCGTGCTCGCATTTTCGCTTTTCCGCCAACATCTCTGGAAATCGGCGGAGAACTCGAAAAAAAATCGAATGAAATTGCGGTGGCGAATTCGAGAGGATCAGAAACCAGAGCCACACACTTTGACTTTCACACAACATTTGCATTTTGATTACCTTTTCGCCCACCGACCTTCCCCCATTTCTCCCATAAACTTTTCGTTGCCGCGTCCTTTTCGTCGTGCCGCCTCGCTCAACTTTTGCCTTTCCTTTCCTTTTCGTCGTGCCCCCCCCCCCAGTTTTCTAGTTCTTTCGGGATCTCGTGTGTTCCTCTAATTATTCATTCGTTCTCCGCTCGCCCGTATAAAAAGTTTGTTTCGTCAAAAACAGCCATTTATGACTTTTTCCGCTTTCCAGATCTTCCCGCGTTGAGAATCGAGCCTTGAGAGTGGGAAATTTGAGTTTAGGATGATTTGCGGAAAGTTTAGACACCCATAATGCCGTGGTTTTTTTGAAAAACGTTTTTGAAGCCGCTGTGGGCTCGCGGAGCACCTACTTGCTCCGCGAGCCCAATAAAAAATGTTCTTAAAGTAGGTCATGATGTATCTCAAATCCATGCCCATGACCTCCCGAATCCAGTAATCATAGTTTCAGTGCGCATGGTCCAGTGGGACCAGGTCCCACAGCTCACGCATCACAATTCCATGCAACTTTGACATCCTTTTTCAGCTTCCTCAAGTGTTCAAATCATCTAAAATCCAATCACATTTGATTTCTCCCCCCTCTCCCCAAAAAAAGAACCGTCGTTTCTGTGAAGTAATCCAAATCCACTTGAGAAATCCAATCATCCGGGCGCGCTCCGTTTTCCTCTCATTTTTACGGGAGGGGGGCGGTACACATTCAATCACTCTCGACTACTTCTTTTTCCACTTTTTCTCCGTAAAATCACGTTTCCGTCTACAAAAATATCGGGTTTTTTCAGGTAAAAACGCACA